GAACGGGGGTTAGGTACCTAGGGAAGCTTGGGTTACATCCCCGCCTTCGACCCTCCTCCCTTAAGAACCGTAAAACCCTAAGCCCTAAAACCCTAAACCCTAAACCCCCTAAGAACCCTACAACAGAGGAAGCCGGTGCTGGGCCTTGCATCCAAACCCTGGCTGTGCTGCCAAGGGAGGCGCGCCCCAAGTCCGGTTTGTTGTTGAGTTAGGGTTTAGGGTTTGGGGTTTGGGGTTTAGGGTTTAGGGTTTAGAGTTCTCGGGGCCTCTGCTGCCCGACTGGGCACTGTACAAGGCACTCTAAGCCTTCAGAGTTTTAAGGGGCTGTGGCAACGAAGTGCCCCCCAAAAAATTCCGAATTCAGTGGTAGTTCCGCTTGCTGCCTCAGTTGGAAAGACCCAGATCTTCTAAAACCCCTAACTAGGGAACACAACAAATGTATAAAAATCATCCTTAGTATGAATTAAAATCCTTAATTAAGGCCCTAAACCCTAAACCCTAAACAGGGTAGGGTTTTGGAAGATCTGGGGAGTCGGGACGGGCGCCAGGAGCTGTCCAAAGATGATCAGGAGCTTCTCGGCAAGCTTCCCAAGGCGAGGCTGGGGATGCAACGTGACTGTGGTAGTTGCGCTGAGGGCTTAGGGTGTGGGGTTTAGGGTTAGGGTTTAGGTTTAGGGTTTAGGGTTTAGGGTTTAGGGTTTAGGGTGGCTGTTGCAGCAAGAAGATGATGGGCACTTGCTGTCTTGGGTGCTCCCAAGAATGTACTACGGAGCCTTGTTGCTCCTTGAGCATCTGCTTGGCCAGGCCAGACACAGGGACTCCAAAACCCCTTAATGAAGGAATAGACCTTAAATTATGTAGGGATATTCTTTAATTAAGGGGGTTTGGAGTTTTTGGGGACACTCTGCTGGGATAGCCTTCCCTGTCAGGCTTTGCTTCATCGGGGGACTGGCACGACCTGGAAGACGCTGTGCGCTACCATGCGATGCTTTTGCACAGTGGTGGCTGATTTAGACGCGCGGTACTACGCACCTCGTCATCGCATGGTGCTGCTTAGATGTGGTGTGTTGCGTACGCTAGCTGCTCGGCCCTGCTGGCTTTGCCACAGCACGGGCATGTCAAGAGAATGCTTCAGAAAGGGCCACCGTTGCCTGTGCCTTCCATCCAGCAGGCAGGTCTTCATCTTGTCCACGTGCAGCAGGAAAAGGGCATGTCGCGACAAGCACGGCCTTCGACCCAAACCCTTGCCAGCTGCCGCCCATGCATACAGAATAGAAGGTTATGCCTGAAGCACTATACCTGCACCCCCCACTACCCTTTAGTAAAGGGGACTTATATACCCTGCTCTTATGGTTAACGGGTAGTGGGGTGGGGGGGAGCTCCCACTTGCTTTCTTCTCGATGTCGAGGTGGCTGCCCTGCGCATGTGCTTGGGGCAAGATCCAGAGGAGGAGGTCCCTTTGTCTTTCTAAGTGGGCCCTTGGGATCTTTCATATTTTTCCTTCATTGGGTTTAAGAGGACCATCTTTAGGAATAGTTTGCAGAGGGTTTTAAGGGCCATCCCCGCTTTCTACTGCTGACCACAAGAAGTTCAAGAGCGCCGTGCCGTTACATGCTCAGGCCACGAACGAGTCAGCTGCCAGCAATGCACTACTTAAAGCTTCTTTGCCTGGCGCTGCTAGACCCTCTGGATGCAACGGCACAAAGAGAGAGAGAGAGAGAGAGAGAGAGAGAGAGATTACTGATGACTGGTTGTGCAGCAGGTGTGTGCCTGCTTCTGGTCCCTCCATCCTGAGGCGGGGCTCAACATAGATTGCATGTGGCGCCCTGATGTTGGGGCTTTGATGGTGTCGCATAGCCCTCACTCTGGCGAGCACACGCGAGTCATCAAGCTCATCAAGCCTCCTACCCAACACCCGGTCATGACCAGGTGATAAGTGCGACATTTGTGAAGAGCCTGGCCAGCTTAACGGCGACCGCAATTCAGCCCGGCAAGATCGCGCACGATCCGGAATATTTGGCTCAGCTATGGGCGTGGCTTGTGCGCAGCTTTCGCGGCAGTTAGTCTCGCAAAGAGTTTCCTGCTGGCCCGTGTTGTTCAAGTACAGTTGTGTTTAGCCAGAGGTCCCCCTCATGCCCAATCCCAGGAGGGCACTGAGATAAGTGGAACACAGGGGCGAGAAAGAAAGTTCCTTGCGCTCTTTTCGTTGAATGTTCACCGGATTCTTGCGGGCATTCTCCAGTAAAGAACTGGTTCCATTTCAATTAAACAAGCAACGAAGGACCCGAGTTCGCTAGACGGTTGCCAACAGTGCCACCTTCCCTTCAGCGATCTGACAACCCCAAGAAAACATGCGAGGCCAGATGAAATGACGATATGAAGTTCCAGAATTGCTCAGGCTTTATTATTGCTTAAACTAATGAAAACAAATGAAAAGTGTTTAAACAATTTGATAAAAAATCGAGTGAAGCAAGACACTCTGAGGTGAGGTCCCGCTGCCGCCCCCGACGTGTTCCCTGCGCCTCCGCGCGAAAGCGTCCGTGGCTCTGGCGATTGGCGCCTCTGGGCCGCTGCGCGGCTGGATTTTTTTTGGGGGCATGCTTGGGGCTTATAGGGTTTAGGGCTTAGGGCTTAGGGCTTAGGGTTTAGGCTCCCGGCATTCAGCAAGCCCCGGCTCAAACAGGGATTAGGGCTTATAGGCTCGTACGTAAGGTAAATGCAGTCGGCCGGCATGCGCTTCCGCAAAGCGTCGCCATGACTTGCCTCCCTTTGTTTACAGTGTGCGCCATAGTCCGGTTAGACGAGTGGTGAGCAAAGGCTACAAGTGCTGAACGCCGCTGAGCCATCCCCCGAATTATTCGCTGAGGAGTGGCTGCTTGCCGGTGCCTCACGTTCCTTTGAGCTGTTTGGTTCAGCGGCTGAGCCTCTCCTCGCTGTTGCTTCTATTCCGGCTGGCTTTGCTGGAGCGGAAGGTGCAGTTCCCTGGTCGGTCTTGGGTTGCAGGTCTGTTGCGTTTCGTGGTGAGCCAGTGAGCCGTGCATACGTTCTGGCGCTCCTGTAACCAGTGCCGAGAAAGACTTCATGTCCGTGCCGTCAGCCCCCCACAAAGATAGCCACACAGAGTCAAGCAATGCAAGTCTCCGAAGCACCACACGTCAAGCAAGTTCGTGGCTTTCCGTCCAAATCCTTCCATGGCAGAAACTGAACACCTCGTAAAACAGTGAGCGACGAACATTTTTACAACTCCATGTGCAAAGTAGGCCGTGTAGATAGAAGACCTGCCGTCACACCCCAACTGGGCGCCCCACGCCGGCAGGTGGTGATGCGCTCCTCCTCTGCGTTCACTCTGACGGCCTGTGGTGAGGGCATCTCTTCCCTGCTTCTTTTCCCGTTCCGCTGGCAGCTCCTGGGATTCGACGACGGTGTGATGACTTCATCTGTTCGAGGTTTGAGGTGCTGGTTCCTCTCATCGATATCTAGATCAGTTCAGTTCAGTTCAGGGTCGGAGTTCCTCTATCAGAATGGGCTATTAGGCCTTATATTCCCCCTAACCAACCATATAAAGGGACTGTCTAGGAATAGGGTACGATGGACCATGCAGGTAGCTCCCCTAGGCTGCGCCATGACGCAGAAAAGAGATTCTCTGGAAGCCTGCACCTTTAGGGTTTATAGGGTATAGGGTTTAGGGTTTAGGGTTTAGAGTCTGCAAGGCACTCCTACCTGCCGGTGGCGCCTGTGCAGCGGGAGTACCTGCAGCAGAACCTTGCAGAGGAGTTAAGGGCCTTCGGCTTGGACCCGGCCCCTAAACCCTGCAGTTCCTGTGCTCAGCAGGAGTTTGTGCAGCCGTCCTCGGCCCAGTTTTGACTCTATAGACTCCCCAGACGTTGTCAAGAGGAACGAGGGCATTACGCTTTCAGTGTTTTGCGAAAGCTCGACCCCCCCCCCCCCCCCCCCCCCCCCCCCTCCGCACCCACCCACTTGTGCTGCAACGCATTGGTATGCAGATGAAGCCTTGAAAACACGAGACAGCAACATGGTTGCTTCAGAGCAGGGACTTCCCTTCAGTCTCACGCCGCTGAGGAAAGGCCCCTACATACTGGGGCTGCAGCGCGCAACTCGCCTTGCGTAACGCAATACTTATGACAGCATGCGGGAGTGCATGTGCACATGGTTTTCATTCAAAGTCCAGCGCAAATAGTGCCTAGTCCTCGATCCCTAAGTTGGGAGGTTCGTGGTTCAGAACTGCGTGTCAGAATGAGCGCAGAGCAGAGTCGCAGCCTTTGTGCGACAATGTATGCCATGCCCAACCTTTATCCCGTCGTCGGGGTACCGCCCCCCCCCCCCAAATCCCAAAAATTGCCAGTTCACCCAGGCAGCTCTTCCCTAAAAGCAAGACAGAGAAGCCGGAGACCCGACTTTTTCTCGGTCTCGAATCCTTGCCCCCCCTAAGTCCTAAACCCAGCAACTCCTAGGAACCCCCTGCCCAAAAGAATTAAGGAATATACCCTAAATTATATAGCGACCCTTAATATGATTTAAGGTATATTGCTGAACTAAGGGGTATTGGGCTCTTTGGGTTCGGAAGGAAGTGCTTGAGCTCGGCGGCGCAGCCCTGACGGCACTGCCCTCCAGCGAGGACTCGCCCCTTGGCGCGGTACTTACTGAGCCTTGCTGGAGTCAAGGTCAGTGTGGGAGATATATTTTGCATATTCGATTTACATATTACACAGTACATGGTACATAGGACTTACTACATACTACATATTATACATTGCAGATTACGTATAGATGTATAAGTACATATGTATATATGTCATATGTTATGTGTAGTAATAGTAGGGTGGTGTGTGGAGCTTCACGACCCGAGGTTTGAGTGGGTCCAAGTGCTCAGCAATCCGTCAACCACACCCACGCATGCTTAGGGCTTAGGGGCTTAGGGTTTAGGGCTTAGGGTTTCAAGTTTAGGGTTTAGGGTTTAGGGTTTAGGGTTCATGTGGCCTTGCGTGCCAGGCATGCTTTTTCGGTTTTTGACCTGGACGCGGGCGAAGTGGAGACAGAAGCAGCCTTTGCCAGGCCCCGCGGCCACTTCAAATCCACACTTGCCCTTCTGCAACTCTATTCGTGATACACTTTAAACTCCTGGAAATTGTGTATTGAAACGGGGGTTTGATTTTAATGAAGGACCTTTGTGTGTGCGTGTGTGTGCGTGCATTCCTTTTCCCATCAGCAAAAGGGTGATTACAAGGCAAGCACAATGTAGGATGACCCGGGATAAAGCCCCTGAGGTTCCCCCGCGAACAGTCCTTCCATATGCAAAGATGAGGCTCCCAGAGCTCCCAAGCAGCGTCCGGCAGAAGCTGCGGGCGGGCCTCAGCCGTTTGATGGCGAACAGCGGCTTAGATGCTCGTTCGCCCCGAGGTTTCAAGCATTTGAGATGACCAATTGCCACTCAATGGAAGACGAATGCCAAACCGAACGGATGCAGAGGTTGACCTGGATTGCACCCTTCTTTCAGGTGTCCCAAATGTAGAGCAACTCCCGCAAAACCCTTGACCCCCCCTAAACCCTAAACCCGAAGGCCCTAAACTTCAAACATAAGCCCTAGTCGAACCCTGCTGAGTGGCTTCATGTCAGCTATGCGGGAGCAAAACCCTAAACCCTTAACCCTATATAAACCCTAAAACCCTAAACCCCACAAACCCTATAAACCCTAAAGCCTAAAGAACCTTAAGCCTTGACATCCTTTGACCGCCCTGACCCTCAGGATCTGGGCACGTCACCCGCGCGACTGGGCGAAGGGGACCCGACCTTCGACCGAGAGGAGTGGGGTGAGGGGGACGGGAGGGGAGTTTAGGGTTTAGGGTTTGGGGTTTAAAGGGTTTAGGGTTTAGGGAGGGCCCTAATCCAGGAGCCCAAGATACCAATGTTCTCCCCGCACTGGCAGCTTGATATTTATGCATTTATGTATGTATATGTATTTTTACATACACACTATGACACTATATATGCATAGGTACATATATGTATGTATGAAAAACAAATTTTAACTGGGTCTCAGAGCCGTGGCTGTTTCTGGCACAGCTCTTTGTCGCAGTTGAGGGCAGGGTGGGTTGTGTCGTTGCTCGCTCAGCCCTTGGTTCGGCTGATGGTACCTGACTGACATTTAGGTTAATTGCGGGTTTAGGGTTTAGGGTTTAGGGTTTAGGGTTTAGGGTTTAGGGTTTAGGGTTTAGGGTTTAGGGTTTAGGTGGGGGGGGGGAGGGGGCCGGGGAGGGGAATCGGCTGCGGGCTTGCATCTTGAAGAGTCGGCAGCAGTGAGGTGGGTGTACTTAAGCGGACTGTCGACAGACCTGGGAGGTGCAGAAGGTCTTCTTCCACTCTCTCGCGCCGCTCGTGACGGACCTGCGAGAGTTCTACACACCTCCACAGGACCGCAAATTAAATTACGTGCACTTGTGCCCTTCGATATCAACGACCGCTGCTGTCGCTGTTGATCTCACGATGGCAGACTGCACGCTCCAAAAGAGTACGGCCATCCAGAAGGCGCAGGCAATTCCTTGAAGTATCGAGTCAAAAGCCGAGGCTAGCTTAGCAAGCGGATACGTGCAGTACAACCCGCCCAAGGCCCTCAAGCGTGTAGGACATCATGGCCTGAACCTTTCCTTGAGCTTGGCCTTGTGTATGGTATATAGAGGGTCACCCAAACAGACCTACTAAAGCGAGTCGAGCTGGTCCGTGGACTGTCCCGAAATGTGGTTGGGGCCTCGTTTCCTAAAACGTTCATGGAACCGGCCGGGCTGGGTTTCCTGGATTCTCCGGGCTCTGGCCTCTTCAAGATTCCCAGAGCAAGAGCCTCAAGCTTGTAGGACCTCAAGGCCTGAAGAAAAGAAACCTCAGACTGCTGCTTAGGCTGGCTCAGGAGTCAGACAAACCCTAAACCTGCAACCGTAAACGCAGAACCAAAAAGCAACCCTCCAGGAAAAAGGTTTGTGCTCATGGCGGGTGAACCCAACAGACTGAGTTCGCAGAACAGTCCCGCGAAGCTTGTGCGTATAGAGGGTCGAAATACCGAAGCCAGGGCAGCATTAATTGCCGGGTTTTATGGGTAATCCCCTGAGGACGGCGCCAGCCTCGGGAGCTTCGACGTGCATGGCTACGTCCACAGCCGGGAGCCGGAGGCTGTGGTCGGGGGATGGACGTTTGAGAGGTGACATCAAAGCCGCGGGAGCAACCCTCAAAAAAGAAACCCTAAACCCTACACCCTAAAAACAGAAAGAACAAAACCCTGTTTTTGTCAAGAGTTCAATGCCATCTGTGGTTTAGCTTGGCTTCTTGCAGAAGATCCGAGATGCGAACTCTGTATCTGCTGGACAGGCATGTTAGATTTCATCTCATGCACACAGCAGAAGATCTTCCCAAGCAAACAAGTCCCGAACCAGAATTCTCTTCCGACGCCGGGATAAACCCTAAACCCTAAACCCTAAACCTCAGAAGAACCCAATGAGGCCCAGATCTTTGCACGGGCGCTATCGCAGACCGTCGCCTTTCGGGACAAGCTCCGGGAAAGGTTTACATCTTGGGCTGTTCCCCCTTATACTAGCAATCCTGCTAGTAGTAGAGTAGGTAACCTTGAACCTTTTTGGGGTAAAATACAATCCCCTTATCATCCCAAAGGTAAACCTTCCAGTTCCCCCAGGTTACTGGACAACTAAGTCCTTAATCCCAACTACTAGCAGTCCTTAATAGGGATTATAGTACCCCCTATGATATCCCCATTTTCTACCAGTCGTTAACAGGGATTATGGTACCCCTCATTATAATCCCAATGACTACCAGGCCTTAGTAGGGATAATTTTCGTACCCCCAATTAGATTCCCCAATAAGGACTGTTAGTCTAAGGGAGAACATCCCTGAGGCCATCCGAGGGGCAACCAAGAGGGGTTTAGGGTTTATAGGGTTTACTAGGGTTTATAGGGTTTATAGGGTTTATAGGGTTTATAGGGTTTTCAGGGTTTATAGGGTTTATAGGGTTTATAGGGTTTATAGGGTTTATAGGGTTTATAGGGTTTATAGGGTTTATAGGGTTTATAGGGTTTATAGGGTTTAGGGTTTAAGGGGTATATGGGTAGCCCTAAACCTAGACCTAAACTCTGAGACACACTGTGCGCCTGGCCCGTCCGCGCGTGGGCGATTAAACCCTACACCCTGGGTTTGGCAAAGGTCGGGCTTAGGAAATGTACACTACTTTGGAGAGAAGTGCTTCCCCAATTCTCCAAAATCAGTCTAGGGGTTAAGGGTTTAGGGTTTAGGGTTTAGGGTTTAGGGCCAGTTTTAGGATTTAGGGTTTAGGGATTATTTACTTCTTTAAGCTCTGAGTCGAAGCTCCGTCTCCAGGAGCTTCTCCAAGAGACCATTGGCCTGGCTCGTGGCGACGTGGCACAGGTTACAGGTCATGTCATGAGAACGGGTGCTTTAGCTTCCTTAAGAGCAGGTATGTGTGCTTTCAGAGAGAGGGGGGTCACCCTGTAGCTATCATTGGCTGAAACAAGTCCTGCCAGTCATGTGCGCGCTTTACTGGGACGAGCCTCTACGATTATGCAAATACTCTACATATGCTGCGCCTGTGTGCGCCCATGATAGGTCTTGTCGGGGGGAGGGGGGGGTGGGTGGGTGGGAAGGATACGTGTGTCCCAGTCACAGCCACCAGAGCCGAGGTGACTCTCGCCTGGAGAGGGCCTTAGCGCCCTGGCTTTCCTGCAATTGTTTTTAGGGTTTAGGGTTTAGGGTGTCGGGTTTAGGGTTTAGGTCCCGAATGGTTTCGTTTTGAGACCTTTCACCCGAACAACCCGAACAAGAACCCCATCGCCCCCCTAAGCCCAGCAGCCTCCACCTGTCGCAGTCGCAGCATTGCGGCATGTCGCAACCCACCATCCGTTAAAAAAGAAAGCCCAAAGGGCATTGGCTATGGCGTCTCTACTTGTCATGGGTAGTTATAAGTAGGTTTATGAGTACCCTAAATAGGGTTATAAGTATAGTTACCATACTTATTACCCTACTTATAGCCACCCATGAACCTACAAGCAACGGGCAGAACTCAACATAAGGTCCAGGAGCAACTCCAGCCTTCTTTCGCGGAGCAAGGCCTTTTTTGTGGTTGACTTGTTGTTGCAGCCATGGTCAGTAGGCAGATGTCGGCTCAATATGCCCCCCAAAAGGGTGGCTAGAACCCGGAGTGGGGGTTTAGGGTCCCTTCTAATCCCCTTTGAAACAGAAAAGGCACCCTTTTTTATACCTAGGTTACTCTTGGGTCTAGTCTCAAGAATTGTGGGATTCGGAGTTTGACGAGGCGATCCTGCAACGGCGCCGGGAGGGCCGTCTGCAGACCGGCCAACGGATTCGTTTCATTCTGTGGCGTATCTGAAGATGTCAGTGCTGGATTGCACCCCAGATCCAATGGCTACGCGGGTACGGTCAGGCATGATGTTCTCTGCTTGGTCTGAGCCGCAAAGCTTCGACATGTGTGTGAACCCTAAACCCTCAACCCTAAACCCTAAAACTCTATTTGTGTCTTTAGTGTTGTTGACTCAGAACCCTGAGAGATTGCCCTGAACACTTTTCATTTTTCGGCTTGCGAGGCTGATGAGTTGCGCCTGGGTTGAGGGGACAGTCCCTTTGTTGTTAGCTGAACTTGAACCTTTGATGGGCTTTGATTGTAGGCTCGACCCAAAAGCAGCAACTCCAACAACACCCCATATACTTCGATCGCCAGTTCCCTGCAGAGTGTCCGAGAGGTCAGCTAAGCGGGTGGCAAAAAAAACCCTAAAACCCTAAACGTGCACGTGAGTCTGCTTGCCTAGGTGGCCCGGTCCAGCTTCGCAAGCTGTCCTCCCGATGTGCCAGAGAGCGCGCCGTGCCTGACAGGTGCCATGCAGACCTGCGCAAAGAGCGGTCAAGTTTCGCTCATTCAGGGTTGTTCTCTTGGCAGCGCACCACATGCAGTGGAGGGTCTATAGAGTCTTACGCAGACACCAAGGGCTGCATGCTTACGCCTGGCAGGCAGGCATCCAAACCCGAAAACTATTCAAGGCGATGTTGTCCTCAAGTTAAGGTTTAGGGTTTAGGGTTTAGGGTTTCGGGTTTCGGGTTTAGGGTTTAGGGTTTAGGGTTTAGGTTTAGGGTTTAAGGACGCCCTTCGAAAAACCGTCCCACGGGTCTGGCTCCCCCTCTCTATCATCTTTGTTTCTCCTCTCTCTCTGTCTCTCTCTCGTCCCTTGTTCTTCCTTCCCAAGGGCCCAGTGCACTATCTGGCATCACGCCTCCCCACCTTATCCCTGGCCCTGCCTCATCCACTTCAACGCGCTTGTCCCGCTTGCTCTCGGGCGTACAAATTACGGCTTGCGCAGGACTGCCCATGGTTGTGCAAACACTGCTCCTCTCTCGCCTTCTTCTGACCGGCATGTCTTGGTTGCCCAAAGTCTTCACCACGCCAAAGCCCAGTTGAGCGTGCATGCAGACGGTGCGGTAGGATCTCTCGGTACTTCCATGGGGTTGTTCACAGCCGGCGCCGCCCTCAGAAACAACAAACAAAAAAGTATTGGAAGCGTTGTTCTTTCCAAGGAGGTGCTGTGGGCTGTGGGGTATTCCGGCAGACCCCTACGCCCCAACCTTTTCATGCACTTGCAAAGTCAACCCCTTCTGCTCCAGCCACAAGCACAACTTTGTGAGTTGTGAGAGGCGAAGCAGCAGTTCTCCTCGGCGAGAAACAACGTTGCACCTCGACGGTGTTCCTGGGTCTTGGAGTTCAAGGCAAGAGGAATTCAGTGTGCTGGGGTCTTTGCTCAGGTGTTGAGTGCCCCCTCCTTAATTATCAAAAGAGGGTTTGAAGGGCCTCGCCGATGAAGCGTCACAAATCGCTGCCCTTCTCACTTCCGAGCCCCTAAGCCGCCCAGAAGGCGCTCAGTCCATCGAGTTGCAGCTGTGCTTCGTGCCCCACGGTGGAGGGACGACTGAGGGCACAACCCTCCCGGACACTGGACTGAGACGTTCAGCGGTTCTTTGCATGTTTGGTATTCTCGGCTTCAGACATTGTAGGTCAAGGTGCGCAGGGGAGGTTCTCACAAACGTGAGCCCGATGTCGGTCGAAGCCCAGCAACTACCTTGAAGCCTCCGCAACATAGGGCCTCACTTGGCACTGCATGCGTTGCCATACCATTTCGTTGCAAGCCTTGGCCGGATATGCAACTTCAGTCTTAATTGTGACGACTACTACTGTTACTGCTACTGCTGCTCCTCCTCCTCCTCCTCCTCCTTTTTGCTTCGCTGTACTATGCGCAGAAGCACCGGTTGCCCCAGGTCGCTGCCGCTAGCAAGGGCACGAAGGTGGCCAGCTGGCAAAGGCGCGCTGCAACTCAGCTTTAGCGTCCAAATCAGGGTTGTGCAGTCAGTCCTTGCGCATAGAGTCCCCATTTAAAGATGTCGGGCAAAGTTTTGTCATTGCTGTTGGTGGCTCGTAGACGACGTGGGAGACTCAAGAGCCTTGCCTGTTTTGTGCGAGTGTGAGCGTCGAAAGAGGGGTCATTGTTTCTGTCTATCCTCTCACCCTCAGCTCTTTTGCTCCTTTTCATTCCGTCCTGGATCAGGGTGTACGACTGTGCGCGACCGAAAGCATGACTTGACCTCACTGGACTGCCCAAGGGGCAAGACTTCATAGAAACGCGGGATTTGTCTAGTTGTGGGCGGTTTGAGTTGGAAGCCAGGAAGTATGTTGGCACTGGCATGAGGAAGCCGCCAACCTTTTTCGAACCAAGTGCCAGACTAGTGCCCCGTAGTGTGTCCGAGAGGTCGGCGAGGCAGGTGGCAAAAGAAAACCCTCCTAAACCCTAAACCCTAAACCCTAAACCAACCCCTAAAACCCTTTTGCCCTTGCGGAGCCGATGCAGGAGTCAGTGCACCGAAAGAAGCTGCGAAAGCGGTGCTGGGGAGGTCCAAGGCCTGGAGCCCAGCAACACTGAAAAGCGAGCTTAGGGTTTAGGGCGTTTTGGGATTTTAGGGCGTTTAGGGTGTTAGGGCTTTCGGGTTTTAGGGTTTAGGGTTTGGGGTTCCGGTTGAGGGTTGAGGGTGTGTGAGGTTTAGGGGGTGGGGCTGGGCGGCTGAGGATTAGAGGAGTACAGGGTTGAAGCTTCTTAGGGTTCAAATAAAGCTTTTTTGCTTTAACAGTTTTGGGGGATTTGGCGGCTTATAAGGGCCTGGTAGGGGTTAGGTTCGGCGTCGAGTGTGCTGGCAGCCTGTTGAGCTGTAGTTGCCTAAGCAATCCTTCGAACTCTATGTATGCGCTGGCAGGCCGCTGAATTCCCGGAAGCCCTGAACTAAACATCTTCTCTGGGCGGGTGGTGCAAAAAGGGACTGTTGTTGGAAGAGGGTCTCCAATCTCGCCTTCGACACGCGCAGACATAGCAACAACTGGAAGTCACACTTAATCTTAGTAATTGGACTATTCAGTTGCCCAATGCTGTGCGATGCCAACGTCTTGTGCCAGACCTTCCTTTCTGGGAAAATGCCACCTAGAAAGCAGAGTTTTAGATCACGTTCTCCTGCGTCCCGGATCTTCCAAAACCCCTTGATTAAGGAATATACCCTAATTCAGAATACTGATCCTTCGTATAAATGAGGATATACTCCTCAACTAAGGTGTTTTGGGAGAAGATCTTAGCATAAATGATAGGGTCTGCTCCTTAACTCAGGGGATTTTTTTGGGGAAGATCTTAGTATATAAATGAGGGTCTACTCCTTCATTAAGGGGGGGGTTTTCGGGAAAATTCTGGAAGCAATCTGTGGCGCCAGGCAGTTCCTCCCTGGTGAAGGCCGTCGTGGCTGCGGTGGAGGCTCAAGCGCAGCAGGCCGGCCTCTTCGGACAAGGCGCGCCTACTTGGAGGTTCATGGGTACTTATAGGTAGGGATGGAAGTACCCGAAAAAGGGGTATTTAGTATAGTTGCCATACTTAAGTACCCTAAATAGGGTTATAAGTATAGTTGCCATACTTAGAACCCTACTGATAACTACCCCTGAACCTCCAAGTAAGGTTTGGGGGGTAGTGCGGCTTGGCACTTGTGTTGTGCTGGCTCTCCCGAACTTACACCACGCCACCAGGTCCACAGGTTTCTGTCGTTTGCCCGTGAGACACACGATTGTTTGGTGTATCGTCAGCCTGCCATGAGTGCAAAGCTGCAGTGACAAGCGCTCCAGCCTTGCCACTCTGCAGAGTACCACTTGGAGGTTCATGGGTATTTATACGTAGGGTTAGATGTTCCCTAAGCAGGGTTATAAGTATAGTTACCATGCGTTTAGCCCTACTTGTAACTACCCATGAACCTCCAAGCACCCAGTGCAGAAATACGAGCCCTAAACCCTAAACCCTAAATCGAAGACTCGCAGGGCTTGACTGGGCGGCAGGGCTGCGTGCAGCCCTGGCCTGGCCAGAAGCCCAGGGCAGGCCAAGGACGGGCCCTCAATTTGCTACTGGGGTACTTATAAGTAGGGTTGTTAAAGTACCCTAAATAGGGTTATTAAGTATAGTTGCCGTACTTATAAGTACCCTAAATAGGGTTATTAAGTATAGTTGACGTACTTATAACCCTACGCGCTTTCATTCTGTCTGGCCTTTAGCTGTGTTTGTTGTTCTTTCTCGTTGTTTTTCATGTTATGGACCCACTGGGTTCGTAGAATAGTGAACTTTGAGTTAGGTGGTTCAAGGGTCTAAACTTAAGCCCTCAGCCCTAGACTTCTCTTGACATGTTTTTTTTTTTTTTTTTTTTTTTTTTTCTGTTTTTTTTTGTGTTTGTTTTTTGTTTTCTTGGGGGGGGTTCGTGACATGAATTGAGGGCAGCCGCATGCTGATGCAAGCACGGGCCAGATACACGGCCTGTATGTCGCTCGGGTATCTGGGTGTTTCTGTAGGAATCGCAGCCGCTTGAACAACGTGCATTCCGGTTGAGATATTGCAAAGCTCACGTCGGGGTTTACGAAAATAAGGGACCCCTAATATACACCCACCAACAGTAGGATTCCCCTATAACAAGGACCCCAAGAAGGTACCGCTAGTTTCGGAAACCCCCATGTGGAGCAGGGTTTATATTACTGTTTTTGGTGAGTGTATATAAGGTTCCTTTTTAATATTGGTGAGTGTATATACCTGGTGTCCTTTTGGGGGTACAAGAAATACATACCCTGCTTCAACGTGTGTTTGTTCATTCGTTTCTGTGAGGATGCTTGAGAAGCAGCGAGACTTGCTCGACCAATATCTGGATCGCCTGGCGGCTGGTGAAGGTCGGCGGCTACACCCTAAATCCTAAAGCCCTAAACCCTCCCATTTAGGTTTTTTAACGTAAAAAAACACTTTTGGGTGTTTTAACGTGAAAAAAACCTAAATGCGTGGGGTTGATCTCGTGTTGTTGTCGCAAGATCACTGGGGTCGATCATAGCTTCCGGTCGTTGGGCCGGCAGGTGCACCATACATCAGAGGGTTTTAAGGGGTTCAAGGGGGGGGTTGTGCAACTTTAAGGGTTCACGAATGCTCCTCACTGCTCCCTAAGGCTCCCTAAGCTTCCCTAAGCTTCCCTAGGCTTCCCTAGGACCCTCCATGAACCCCCCTGCCTTGAAGGACCCTATAAATACAGACTCAATCGAAACCTCAGCAAATTCAACCGTTAGCCTTTGTACGCGTGCCCCGGAGGCACCCGCAGGGGCCACTTTCGTGAACTGCACAAGGGTAGTTCTCTAAATTAGGCTCCCTTTTTGGGTCCCCATGTTTTCTACGGCACCCTTATAGTCACTATAGGGAACCCGAAAAGTGATGCAAATTTGGAGGACTACCCACAAGGAAGCCTGACAAACAAGCAGCCCGGCTAGATCCTTCCTCCTCGGCTCGACTGCTGGCTGCTGTTCCTGCAGTGAAGCAGGCAGTGTGCCTTGGCGTCCAAGGAAGGCATAGGGTTTCGGCTTGAGGGTTCAGGGTTTATAGGGTTTAGGGTTTAGGGTCTGCTTATTGAGCAATATTTGGTGGAGGGCATTTGCCTCTTGGGGCCATTGGGATTTGGGATATCTCTGCCCTGCTGAATCGCATTTCATGTTCTCGATGTCGGGCCATGGCTGGGTTTCTTCTCACAGCGTGGGATTGCATGCCAAGATTGCCAAGCCGTTCATGACACGCAGGGCCTGCAACGCCCGATGGCACAGGATATGCAAGTGATCGCTTGTGCTGATAGCCTCTGAAACTAACTCGCAAACAAGCCGAACTCCAATCCAGTCGGATCCATGTCGCCCCTAAACCCTAAACCCTAAACCCTAAACCCTGAACCCTGAACCCTGAACCCTAAACCCTAAACCCATCAAATCGTCTTAATTTGACGCGGCCTTGCAATTATGCCATGGGATCCGGTGCAAGCCTCGGCCGCACGGGTCATGACGAGTACAAGCGCTACATCTACGCGGCCGCCGCCAAGAGGGCCCAGGACGGAAAACTGTAGGGTTTAGGGTTTGGGGTTTAGGGTTTTAGGGGCTTGTGATGTCGCCCCTTGTACTAACCGTCCTGAATAGGGATGATAGTACCCCCGAGTAGAATCCCTGTTAAGGAGCTGTTTGGAAAAGTGGTGAACATCGCCTCACCGCCCCAATATTAGATACCCCCCCCCCCACATTACAGTGATATTTCTGTATATGGGAGGATATTTCGTATTAGGGAGGGGGGGGGGGTTAACATTGGGAAGGGATTAGGGGCCCCCCAAAAGCCACGTATGCAGAAGGGTCCTACTATTGGGGTATAAGGGCCCCCAGATGGGGGGAGTCTGGGAAACCATGTTTGTAGAATCCTGATGATTCTGGGCCAACCTCATGGCACGCAGGAATGTGCAATGTTGAGTCGTGAATGCTTATGTATACATGATCCGGGTCCGTGGTTCGCCAGCCCCCCCATTCGTTGTTTGGCTAAAAACAAGCCAGTTTATGAGTAGCATGGCCCTTGAATTCGATCAAATGCTGAGTTCACTCAGTGATCGAGTTAGTTGAACTACGCTCTTGATTTTCGTTCCTCCTCTGGTCAATAGTTTGCTAAACAAGCTTCACGACCGAGAGATGCTAAACCTGACTCCGCCGACAAAAGCTCCAACTAGTAAAGAGATGCGAAACAGGCACTGGATGAGGGTGCGCAGCAGGACGGCCCTGCGAACAGTTCTGCAGCCAGGGCAGGGTCGATTTGCTCAAGCAGCAGTATCTTCCAGATCCATGAAGGCTTTTGCTGCATGCTCACATGCACCCTAAACCCTAAACCCTACACCCTAAACATGCTGTCAGAGGTCGGGATGTAGTTGTAGAGGCGAATCATGGTTCAGCGGCAGCAGTCTGAGAAATCCAAGAGCATCCGACAATGGTTTGGATAGGGGTTGGAGTCCGGTTTTGGAGGGTGGCTCGGAGCTACAAGTAGCGAGATCACGCTTTAACTGTCGAGGAGAAATGCCGGGAGGAGTGGATGGCCAAGATCCTGAGGGACGGCTGCTACCTGGAGGCTGTGGGTTGTTTTAGCCAGCTAAGCCCGGATCGTCGACTCGCTGCGCTGCACGCATCCAGCATGCAAGCGCGCACGCACCAACATAGCACACGGAGAGACACACAGCGAGGCAGACACATGTTGAGCCTCAAACACACTCACGGGTCTATGTGCATTGAACAGCTTCGAGTCTTGATAGATGCAATACCAACGAGCGTGATGCACAGCCGACCTAAACATCACCCTCGCAAACTACAATGCAGAGTCATGTAGGTACACACTGGGATGTCTCTCGTGCATCACACGCAGACACAGACGCACAGACACACAGACAAACGGAAGGACGGACGGACAGACAGACACACAGACACACAGACACAGAGACACAGAGACACAGAGACACAGAGACACAGAGACACAGAGACACAGAGACACAGAGACACAGAGACACAGAGACACAGAGACACAGAGACAGAGAGACAGAGAGACACAGAGACACAGAGACACAGAGACACAGAGACACAGAGACACAGAGACACAGAGACACAGAGACACAGAGACACAGAGACACAGAGACACAGAGACACAGAGACACAGAGACACAGAGACACAGAGACACAGAGACACAGAGACACAGAGACACACACACACACACACACCATTGCATTAGCTCCCTGACTCACTCACACTAGCTCACTCACTTATTCTGTCCCACACCCACCAGCAACCAGCACCGGAGGATCAGACACTGCCACCTTCCACACGTTCCTTGAGGCGTAAGTGCAGCGATGAAGCTGAAGATAGTTCAACTGCGCAGAACCCTATAGAACCCTAAACCCTATAAACCTTATAGACCCTAGACCCCAGACCCTAGACCCTAGACCCTAGACCCTAAACCCTAAACCCTAAACCCTAAACCCTAAGCGGGTGGCAAAAAAAACCCTAAACCCTAAACCCTAAACCCTAAACCCTAAGCCAAGCTGCTTTTAGAGGATGCGCCGGCCGAGCTCCGGGCCGACCGGCACTTCATCCTCGAGGCAGTGCGGAGGTGCCTGGCCGCACATGAAAATTGAAAGCAGGTTTAGGGTTTAGGGTTTAGGGTGTAGGGTTTTGGGTTCAGGGCTGTTATTGGTGAGTGAAACAGGGGTCTCTTCCATTTTGGGGGGTTTCCGAAATCAGGAGTATATTAGGGGCCTCTTACTTTCGTAAATCCACATTTGCTTCAGAACCCCTCCCCCAAGAAAAACGAATAGTGATCCCTGTATTGCCCTTATGGGGAAAAATGTTTTTTGGGTGGTTCTTAAGCAAATAGTAGGTTTAAGGGTTTTGGGTTTATATTCCTGTTCTGGGTGAGTGTGTTGAGGGTCCCTTATGAATATTGCTTGTATATCTTGGGTGTCCTTTTGGGGATACCAGTACTATAACACCCTACTTCACATTGAACGCCGAGCATTTTCTGAGTTTACCCCTAAGGAGCAAAAATCTGGTCCCCACAGGGCCAATAAAACTCAAGGAGGTTCTGCATGCTCTGGCATGAAGCATTGGTGGGTTGCAAGGTTTCGCATTGTACATTGAAAAGGCATGGCGTGTTGGGAATGTTGTATTGGGTTCCTGCATGACTCGCATGTGGGGGCGCATCTCCAGTGACATTGCCCTCTCCTGCGCACAGGACGGGAGCCTACTGGCTGGCAAAGCTCGCTGCCAAGAGTCTTCAGGCAAAGTTGCAAGTCTCAGCCAGCTCGCCCTTGATCGCAACTCGCACCAACTATACTTGGTAGGCCAGCCTTTCAATCCTTTGAGCCCGGCTCTTCATCAAGAGCCAGCCTGCTTGCAGGGGGAGAAAGGCTTCCTGGCGGAGTGCTGTCGACTGGCTGGTTCTGGTATCATCTTTACCTACTATGACAGCGCCACCTGCTTCCCCAACATGAGGTGCTGAATGGGTTAGGGTTTAGGTTTAAGGTTTAATGTTGCACCCTCTTTAGTGTGTGGGCCTCCCCTTCAACAGTCGAAGCTGGTTCTCGCCCTGTCTACACGGTCCACGGCTTATACATGGTTTTAATAGGAAGGAGTATATATATATATATATATATAAGTTTATCAGGGACAGCGATGCCCGGCAATTGCTTTCAATTGTGTGCCGCGCGACAGTTTCTTGCGACACCCGGACGGTTTGACTTTAAACAGGGACCTGGTCTGCACCCCCACACAGTCAGGGTGTCCTGAATAGCCCAGCCAGTTTGACTTTATTCAGGGCCCCCCCCCCCCCCCCCCCGAAACTGGGCGCAACATTAGGGATAGGTTTAAGGTTTAGGGTTGAAGACAACGACCTAAACTTCATGACCTGGGGGCTCTACACGATGGGTTTGCAGAGAGCGCCAGGTTTGGTGCTGAGGTCTGCTCCGTGTTCATCCTCAGGGACCAAAGGAACCTACCCTATGGGACTACAATTCCGAGTAAGGTATCTGAACCAGAAACCCCTTTAGGGGTTCATTGGGCCCCCAAAAACGAAGCTCTCAAATCCCAAAACGTCGGAGAGACCGACCCTGAAGGGAGCGCTTTCCTACATCTGGGGCCTCCGTACCTGGGGGCCAGGCCTACCAGCAGGCGCGTGCCTGAACATCAAGTCTCCTTCAGGGTGCAAGTCACATGGGCTTCGAGTCCGGCCAAGGTTTGAAGGAAGGGGGTGAGACACTGCGCAGATTTCAAGAAGTTGTATGAGGGTTTTCGGGCGTCCTTACTATCAAAAGGGATCCTACTTTTTGGGGATCTATATTGGGGGTCCCCTATTTTCGCAAACCCCCATATACGATGCCGGTGTGGGTCTGGCGTCCTCACTGTCTCAGTGCCTCAACGAGTCATGAGTTACAGCCTCGCGCGTTCGAACAGGTCATGAAACACCTCAGGAGATCGAGTGGAGACCGAGGCGCACTTGGCGCAGTTATGGTTGCAGAGGGCTTCAAAGGAACATTTGCATGTTCCTTCTTTTGATAACAAACATTCATGCAACACTAGGATGGCATTAGGATGGAGTTCAATTGCGTTAAATGACCCCTTGGCGGAGAAGGCATAGGTTTGTATGCCGATTCAGTGATTGTGAGAGCTCAAAAGTTATCTGACAAGGCGTAAGTCCTGGACATGTTCCACGAGACAGTACAACCCCAAGAAGCCACAAACTATGATTTGCACGCCTGGGGCAAAAAGCCTTAATTAGACTCCAGAAGAGCCATGATTATGAAGGCTTGCAGCCTGCTGGCACCCTTTCGCCCTTTTTTTCGCAGCCAACCCGAAAAAAGGCCATAGACCCTAGACCCCAAACCCTAAACCTTTGGGCTCCAATCTGACTCATCGACGGTATGTGCCTCGCCTGGCTTGTCCGAGTGTGAGCGGTTCAACCCTTACTACAGTGGGTACCCCTCAACCCTAAGCCCTAAACCCTTATCATCGTATGGTTCTGGGGGCTACCAAGAAAATGAAGGCACTGCGACGGTGTGGTTTGATGAGCAGCTTGTCTTTGGACATGCTGCCGATGTTGGACCCTTGGTCTCTTTCGAATTTAGGGCAAATGAGGGTATGAGGGGGATTGGAGGTTTGGGGGTTTAGGCGTTTAGAGGCCTGGATGCAAACAGGGTTTAGGGTTTGGGGCTTAGGGTATTGGGGGTTGAACCGACGACTTGCTCATAAGGTTCTGATTCTGTTGAGGCTGCGGAGGATCAAGGAATTGGGGCGTGCGAAAGGTGTGTTCCTCCTCAAGCCGATGACTCATGGCTTCCCCTACTACCCCCCTCATACTGAAGGCTGTTTAGGGCTAATTAAGCCTAATGAAGGTCATTTAAGAGGGAACCCTAGGGGGGGTGGGGTAGTATGGAGGGGGTAGTAGGGAAACCCATGAATGACTGCTCCAAAGCTTCGAAACATATCCCAGGATCATGGGTCCACCCAAACCACGACTGTGGCCGGGACCAGGCGTCAGGGGTTTAGTGCGGGGGTGTTGAGGGTTAAAACGAAAAAGGGGTAGGGATGTTCCACCTTATACTGCAGCCCTTATTATAGTAGGGGTACTAGGATCCCCAGTAAGGACTGTTAGTATAAGGGGGAGCATCCCAAGGTAGGGGTATAGTGGACTGTGAGACAAACAGAGTGAGTGGCATAGCAACCACGTCGAAGGCGGGTTAGGCTTCGTTGGCTATTAGCTTGCATAGTCTTAGATGGACACCACAATGTTCAACGTTCGGGAAAGGCATGTAGCCCCTGTTCCCTATTCCCAAAACCCAAAACCCTTACGGGTGCTGGTTCACAGTGCAGTTGTGCTCAGTTTCTCAGATACAGAGACAGTGCGGAGAAAACCCTTGCAGGTCCCGAAACCCAAAACCCTAACCCTAAACCCTAAACCCTAAACCCTAGCCCTAAACCCTAAACCCCAGGTTCCGGTGCCGCCGTGGTCAGAGCAAGATGCGAAGTGGCGGTGCATGGTGGAGTCCCGAAGTCGGACATGCTACCCGGAAGTTGGCAGCAGTTACATTTGCCACTTGCTTGCATTATATGATTTTTCTATGTTGCTTCTATATACATATATATTATAATATATATATATGTATTATACATATATATATATATATTGCGTATTTATTCAGTAATTTATCTATTTATAGGGTTTGGGGTTTAGAGTTGAGGGTTCGGTATACCCACACATGGGGCTTAGGGTGAGGGTGGCTGCATCGCCAACATGGTCATCATCTGTGCATTGTAAGACGAGAAGGATGCCTGTGGGAAGAGTTTGGGCGGACGAACTTCAACAAACGACAATTCTATCTTTTCATCGTCATGACAGCCCATAAGAGCAAGAAGTGCCGAAGCATTCATAGTTCTCATGATTCGCAAAGAGCCTGGTAGACCCCTTCATGAAGCAGTATACCTTAAAGCATATCAAGGATCCCTGTAAAACTTACTGTCTATCCCTTCATTAAGGGGTATAAGAGGGCTCTTTGGGTGAAGAAATCATTCTGATTTCCGCAAGTCTATGAGGCTGGTGCTGCCATTGGCTGCGGTTGGTGCGCCAGCGCCACGAGGAGGGCAAGGCGACCTAAACCCGATGGACCCTAATCCCTGCCCCAGCTGCGCAGATGGGAAAAATTTGCGAACAAATCCTTGTTAAACCCCTAAATCCCCCTCCCCGCCCTTTGACCTCAAACACCCCTCCTATGTCCAACACCCCTTCCGAAAATCGGCCGGAAGAAACCCAAGCCTGCGAGAGGTAATTTGCTGCACCGTGTCGAATATTTTCAAATCCGACCCTTGGATTGCCGGTTTGGGATTATAGGCTTAAGGGTTCTTGGGTTCTTAAGGGAGGGGTTCGGGGGGTATTCCCGAACACTTCTCCAAAAGGATCCCTAAAGGGTACCGACCCCCAAGAACCCCCCCCCCCTTTAGAACCTTATAACTTTGTGGTGCTTTACTGTAACTTTACATCTTTAGCCTTTTTGGGTTTATTGGGTTTCTTAAGAAGGCATCAAAAAACTAAATTTCTAGCTACCCTGCTAGGAGCAGCCAAGATAAACAAGTTCTGGGCTCCAGGCTCTAAACTGCGCAGAGGCTGCAGGTTTCAACATCGTCCTCCCGCCATTTGCGCAAGGGTTCTTTTTGCGTGTTGGTGAGGCCCTGAGAACTAAACGAACCCGACAGTTGAGGGGTCATATACCCTCTACTATAATCCTGATGAAGGCTATATGAACGATAAGCACCCTTTTAGGGTTCATGTGGTCCCCAAGGTTAGGAGATCTTAGTCAGATAGAATCCAAGAGTCGCCCGAACTTGGTGATTCTGGACGCAGTATCTCTTTTCCTCTGTGCTGCTTATGAGGTTTAGGGTTTGGCTGTTCGCGAATTTTCACCCAGATGGGCTTGTAGGCTGGTATGCTCTGCGTAGCCTTTCCAATCACTTTTCCTGAGGTTCTGATGAGTCAGCAACTTTTCACGCTTCTGAGTATTCTAACTCCCCCTTAGCACTCAGAACCCAAAGTTCAACCCTTAAGAACTCGCAGCCATTCTGCAAGCCCCGACGTGCTCAGGACTGGGTGGAGAGTTACGGCGCCGGGTCCACCGAGGTGCCTCAATTTTCCGCACTCCTCCAACTTCTTGTCAGCTCGCAAGACACCCAAAGACTCCAATATCCCTCAATGAAGGAATATACCTTAAATCATATTAGGGATCCTACTATACATTAAGGTATATTCCTGAATTAAGGGATATGGGAGTCTCTGGCCAAAGCTGACACCCTAACCGCACCCGAATCTCTCGGTGGGCCGCACAGTCTTGCTTGAAGCTCCGAAGCCCCTCCCTAAACCCTAAACCCTAAACCCTCCAATTACACCCTTATGCAGTCAAAGCCGCGGAATCGCACAGTGCGGCATCTGTAGGACAATGTTCCCAAAGACTCCAATATCCCTTAGTTCAGGAGTATATACCTTAAATCAAATTGGGGATCCTACTCTAGATTAAGGTATATTCCTTAAATCATATTAGGGATCCTACTATAAATTAAGGTATATTCCTTAATTAAGGGATATTGGAGTCCCTGGGATTCTTCACAACGCAGGTCTCGGACGCCACGGCTGATGAGTTTGGCCTACCTCGGAGCCATTTCGGGATTGAGTCAGATTTTGTTTAGGGCTTAGGGTTTTTCTGGGGTTCAATGTATACCCAAAAGGCTCTAAAATGATGTGCAGTGGAAGGGTTCGGGTTCAGAAGTTGTGGATTATGCGCAGTTTCTTTTGGCGTTATGATGTTTCCGTTTCTGCGTCGCACCGGACATTCGTGAAATGCCGTGTTTCGTTCGTCGTGGTCTGTCGCGGACTGCTGTGTGCACGCTGGACTCCTGGCAAGCACTGCCTCGGGTGGGGCTGGGGCCCACCCTAAACCCAAAAACTGAAGACTTAAGCCCTAAACATCCCTAAACCCTAAACCCTAAACAAGTCTAAGGGAGAGCTATCGGAATGGCAGACCTGATGGCTGGGGCGAAGCGACGATTCAGCTCTCTTCTGGCCGAAGCTTTCATCGCGAGGCCCCGATCCATCCGCGCACAGGACTTCCGCTTGGCGCAGCTTGTCGCTGGGAGCGAAGTGTGCTCGACAGCCTCGAGTTTCCGGTGTATGCATTTTTTAAGCCTTAATGGCATAGTTCCATGCCCTCAAGCACGAGCCCCAACGGATCGTCACCAACTGGTGGAACTGCAATAGGGCCCCCCCCCCAAATCGCTTTATGCAGGAGCTATAGCGATGTCCCATGCCCTAACTAGACCCGAGTCCTACCCATGCATGTTATTCTCTACTTAGCCGGGGCCGCCCCCGTCTGCCTCAAAGGCGCACGGTGCGGTCCCTACCCCAAGTATCCCGAAGTCACGCTCAAAGCGGGCTCGGGAGCTCACCAGCGCGCGAATTGGGGTTAAAAATCGCGCCGACTCGGAGGCTTGTGACTTCATGTATTTCTGTTAGCGGCAACAATGGGAAAAGTTGTTTTGCAGGTCCTGAGGCCGTTCTACGGGTGCAGTTGTTATTTGGGTTTCGGGTGCACCGCCCTCACTTCAGCAGAACCGGCAGAGCCTCATGAGGGTCTCAGGCTTCAGGTTTTCAACTGCAAGTGGAGCAGAGCAGGCATACTGGCGATACTTTCATGCGTCTGCAGCGGACGCCGTCATGCTGAGACACGATCCCAACCTGAAGCCACACTATCTGCATATTCAGTTGTTCGCTAGTATAGAACATGGCTTCCCCTTTGTTGGCTTGCTTAAGCAGGACTGCTCTTGCTTCCAGCAAGTCGCAGGGAAAGGTCCCTGTACAATCCCTAAACCCCAAGCCCAAACCCCTGAACCCCTAAAACCCCTAAACCCTAAACCCCTAAACCCTAAACCACTCCATAAACCCAAAACCACTCCATAAACCCAAAACCCCCCCCCCCCCCCCCCCCCAGGTCCATGTGCAACGTGCTCCCCACCTGCTTTGCGCATCTGGGTGTGGATCAGAGCTCTGTGGTGGAACGCCTCGAGGAGATGGGACGAGACAGGGACCCCTTGGTTCCTTGGAGCACTTGCAGCTCAACACACCTGGTTCTTAGTAGGGAATGAGGGAATGAGGTCTTTTTTAAGAACTTCCTTTAAGGGATTATATAGGGCCCTTATTTCCTACTAAGGACTAAGAACCAGCCAGTCAAGGTCCAGTGGAGGGTTTTAGGAGAAGTTGATTTGGAAAAGTCCGGGGTCTGCAAAGGAATCAAGCTGAGCCTTGTGCACAACACTCTACAAGCAAGTCTAGGGGAGCCAAGCTGGCCATGTGTTTGGGGTTGGCAGGCTTGTTCAGAGCTCGGGCTCTAGGACTCTGGCATTGCGTTTCGGACTTAAACAAGATCAGGTAGGGCCGCTAGCGTGCAGTGCAGTACATGCGAACGCAGGCCTGAGATAAGTTGGCCGGTAGACTTCAGGGGATCTCTGGCTTGACATGGGTTAGGGCTTGCGCTGGGCTGCTAGCAATGCTGGTTGAGCGATGGTATAAACAAACTATAAGCATGCGACGGTATCCGTGAGCCAGAAAATTTGTATATGGTGCGTTGCAGAGCGGCAAGGCTGAGTTCGAGGATGTTGAGGCCGGGGAGTTGCCCGTCCTGAATCTGCTGAATCGCTGCCTCAAGACGCCTCGTCACCCTTGCTTGGTGGCCGTGGACCTCCTTCGGCGTGCATTCATGTGCGTGCGCACCGTGCAGGCAGAGAATCTGCAGCAAGAGACCGCACCACGACACACGGCAACCGAAGGCAACATGAAGCGTGTACGCTTCTCGCGTACTGCGACTGGCATCAGCGTGGCACCTTCAGAGGATGGTTCGCCGGAGCACTTGTCTCCGTTGGCAGGTCCAGGACGTAGGGCGCGGCGCAGCACCACCTTGGCTTCCTTATCTGTGGCTTTGGTAGCCCAATGGTACCCTTGTTTTTTTTTTCTCTCTTTCTTTTTTTGGTTCAAAGTTCCCTTATGAAGCAACCAACCCAAGAAAGGGTACCCCTAACAAAATACGGTTGAACTGGGCTACCAAGGTGAGCCCCTCGCGTGCTGGCACGCGGTCCCCCATCTCGATGTCGCCCGAAACTATATCCCCCTTGGGAGTTTTTTTGTTTATATAAAACCCAAGAGGATGTTTTTTTTTTTATATTATTTTTGTTTGTATAAAACCCAAGAGGATATTAAACATATTTTTTACGGTTGTAAGGGGAGTATAGGAAAGATCACGGAAGCCGGGCCGGAGCAGCGATCCGAATGTACTGACCTCGCGCAGCCCCGCTCCCACGAGCCCCTTAAGTCCCTCTCGTGCCTTGAAAGGCAATTCAGCAGGTTTAGGGTTTAGGGTTTAGGGTTTAGGGTTGCTGTGGCACTTCGAGTTGACAGCCTGTCCTGAAGCAACGCAAGTCTGACGTACTGAGCTCAATGCGCACGAGTGGGTTCTTGTAGACAACCAAATCGATGCATTCACGTGAAGAATAGGAAGACTTCAACTCGTTCTTGTAGGTAGACTTTAATACAGAATTCCATCACATGTGAAGAAGACCCCTTTTTAAAAGCATTCCAGGCGGAACAGCGACCACATATGTGTAACTCAGCTCCAAAACCAGGTCCAATTGGCGAAGCCTGCGAGCTTTCGCCGGCTGTGGTGGAGCTACGAAAGCGCTTCGGTCCCTGGGCGATTATTCTCATCAACTTTTTATTGTCATCATATATGAACACAAACTTAAAGCAACAGAACGGAAGCGACAATGTACCCTATATACCCAAGAAACCCTATAAACCCTATAAACCCACGCGCAGACACCAAGAATGAGGATGGAGTAGCACCCGCAGGGTCTTCCGGGGCTTGGTTGAGTTGAGTCGGTCTGCCGTACCTACTCAGGGGCAGCTGCTTTGCGTGGCCACCCGTACTTTACCCAGATCTTCCAAAACCCCTTAATTAAGGAATATACCCTGATTAAAAATAATGATCCTTAGTATACATTAGAGTATACTCCTTAATTAAGGGGTTTTGTAAGATCTGGGTAGTCACTTCAGGGATGAACAAATTTTTGGAGGCGCAGCAATTCACATGGTTGACGTCGTCTCTCCGTCCTTCTACTCCTACGGTAGAAGCTCCCCAGATCTTCGGACGATCTGGGTCCTTCCCCCCCTCAAGGTTGACGTGTTTTTGTTTGACCAAACCCCCTTTGACTTTAGGCTCGCCTGAAGGTAAACTTTTACTTCCCCCTATTGTCAAGAAACTTTTTCTGCCGGGACCTGGACCCAGAGACTCCAACAACCCCTTGTTTTAAAGGAAGTTGTAATGGGAACCCTAATATGATTTATGGTATATTACTTAAAAACCCCCTTAGTTAAGGAAGTTGTAATTGGGAACCCTCATATGATTTAGGGTCTACTACTTCCCCTAAACCCTAGACCCTAAACCCTAAACCCTAAACCCTAAACCCTAAACCCTAAACCCTAAAAGGATTTTTGGAGTCTCTGGGGAGGGGGGCCATGAACTCAGGTGAGCTCCAGGCATGCCAGCCGGCGGATTTAACTCACGACGCTCGATGTTTTACTTGGGGCTTGGTGGCCAGGGTTTAGGGTTTAGGGTTTAGGGTTTAGGGTTTAGGGCCGGACATGAGTGAGTTGTCTCATGATGCGTTTAGGGGTCCGCGTGCCTTGTGATTCGTCCCAAAGCTAGGCGTTTTTTGTCGATTTTCTGGTACTTCAAAGCTCTCACAGAGGCACGCCATGGACGCCCGACCTGCTATGCTTCTCGCAAGCGCAAGTCTTTGAGTACCTGATTGGTTTGCAGAGAGAAACACCCGTCCCGGGTCACCCTAAACCCTAAACCCTAAACCCTAAACCCTAAACCCTAAACCCTAAACCCTAAACCTTAAACCCTAACACATTGATGGAGCTCAGGAGGAGAAACTGGCATTCTGGCTGAATGTGCTGAACGCCTCGACGCTGGCATGGCTGCGCCTTGCTTTGAGTCGGGAGCTTCGCGGCTGGCGGTGGTTTTTTGTGTGTGTTTTCGTCTAGAGATCGCAAGGTCAGGCAGCAGTCTGCGCATCATGTGTCTTTGTCTCAAGTCCTCCAGTCGGGATGCTGACACAGACATGGCATAGCGGGCAGGCTCAGGCATCAGGTATCTTTGGTGCTTCCCATGAGATCGCGCGCCTCCATGCTTGTCAGGTGTGTGGTGGGCGTACGCCGTCTCCTCAGCGGTTGATGCGGTAGGCAGTGGCGGGTCGTGAGGAAACGCAATATAGTTTCTGAATAACTATCACAAGCCAACTATCACCCCCCCCCCCTCCACCCCCCACCCTGCAGATTTTACAGAGATGTGTCAGCAAACGTCCAGTCAGCTGCTACACCCTTTTTCATCCTAGGTTACTGGGCAACCTAGATGTTCTTCAGTAGCAAGTAGCGAAGCCGAGACTCACGAGATCTTGCCATGGCATTGTCTCACTGCATCACGCTGATGGCCAACTAAGGAAGCCTTCACAGCAACCTCTTCCCGATGCACGCCCCTCGACTGTGATTTTCGCTTAAGAGTTGTCATGGGAGACACATTGCGAATCATTGCGATCTTGGATCTAGGCCACCTGACTAGCTTCAGTCGTTTTTCCCCACCCTCGGTCGGAACTCTTCTCCTCGCCCGGTCTATGGAGTGCCCAGCCCCAAAAGTATCCCTGGAGTAAGTGCCCAACCCCAGAGTCCCTGCAGTGCCCAGCCCCAGAGTCTCCCTTAGAGTGCCCAGCCCCAGAGAGTCTGGGTGCCCAATCCAGAGTGTCCCCGAATTGCCCAGCCCCAGAGTCTCCCTGAAATCTCCCTTAGAGTGCCCAACCCTGCAGTCCCAGCCCCAGAGTCTCCTGAATGGCCCAACCCCAGAGTGTCCCCGCAGTCTCCCTGGAGTGCCCAACCCAGTCTCCCAGAGTGCCAACCCCAGAGTCTCCCGTGCCAGTGCCCCACTGGAGTGCGCAACCCTAGAGTCTGGAGTGCCCAAGCCCAGAGAATGCCCAGCCCCAGTCTCTACCAGAGAGGGTGGGGATGTTCGAAGTAAAGTGTTTTTTCATGTGTCTCCCTATTTGCGCTTGCGGTGGTTCTTGATGCGGGCTTCCATCCCAGCAGGAAGGTCCGGCTCTCGAAGCTGTTCAGGGCTTTCATGGCTCTTGCCTGATGTTGTTGGCCTTGTTGACATGACATAGTGACCCATCGCTTGGATGTTCCCCCTTATATATATATATATATATATACACTAACTTGCTAACAGTCCTTAATCCCTATTAAGGACTGCTATGAAGGGGGATTATCCCAAGCTAGAGCTTACGACGGCCCAAGTCCGTACATCCGACAGAGCAAAGCTGAGAGTTTGTCAAGGGTCGGAGCCGAAGGATCTGAGACTTCGAATCACAGGGTTTGCTGTTTAGGGTTTAGGGTTTAGGGTTTAGGGCCAACACCCTAAACCCTAAACCCTAACCCCTAAACTCTAAACCCCAACCCCTCAGATGGGAAGCTCGAGGTTTGGACCAGCTTCTTGCAGCGGAGCCTCGTCAATGTCGGTGGGCAGGAGTCGCTTGGCACAACGTTCGGCCAACAGATGGGGGTTTCCGAAATTAGGGGGTTTAGGGTTTAGGGTTTAGGGTTTAGGGTACCTTGCTGGGGTACTTATAAAACTTTTTTTTTTTGGGGGGGGGGGTCTATTTGAGGGGTCCCATATTCTCGTAAACCGCCATATGGAAAGAAGTTCTTTCGGCACCTGGTTTTAAACCAACACGTGGGGTACCAATCCTTTCAGTCTGGCAGCATTTTGTTTGGGACTTGGTGGAAGCCCTATTTGCTTCCTGGCAAGTAGGGGACTTGGGTAACCCTGTGCCCTATGCAATCCACAGGCGATTTTCGGACTGGGTGCCCAAGTCCCTGCCAAGCAACCCTAAACCCTGGCGCTAAACCCTACTAGGTGCCAGTAAGTCGCTGTTGTCCAACCCTAAACCCGGGAATGGCGAAGGCCCTGTTTTTCTCGTGTCAGAGCAGGGCTCCCAACTCGGTCAAAATTGTGTTTTATTCGGGTTTAGGTTTTACAATGAGTCCAGTCGCACAACAAGCTTTGTACTTAGACTAGACATGCCCCCCCCCCCCCCCCCCGCTCATTGCAAGGTCCCAGGTCTCTCAGCTGGCGCCTGACCATCTAAGCCTGAAGCATGCCGAGGTACCAGGTAAGAGGCAAACGGGCTTTGCAGTTGTGTAGTTCTCTGGATTAGGGTACCTTTTTGGATAATACGGTGCGCTTGTAATATGGAGAGTGCTTGCAGAAAGCAGGCCTGCTTTAGACAACTACCCCGTTCATGATGACTGCCGATCCTGGCGTTTCAGGTTCAGCCTTTTCGAGATGGAGCATACCATCCTTCGTGCATGCTCACGGGCACCTAAACTGGGCTGGTTTCTGCAGTGCCAGTGCCTTGACCAAGGGCTTTTCGTAGCCCTGGACCATAACCCCCCTAAAGCATTCGATGGTTGCAGAATCTACCAAAGCATGCTAGCTGCTAGCTGAAACAGTCCGATCCCTGTAGGCCCACTGTGCCAAGTCAGGGTTAGGGGTTCGATTGTGATTATTTAGGGCTTAGGGCTTTGCGAGTTTCTATAGGGTGTCCAAGTTCTAACAGATGCGTAGTAAGTGTCTAGGGGTTTAAGGTTCATCTGGGGTTTAGTGGAAGAGGCCTGTCAAGAGTTCAGAATGTAAAAGGTCCAAGAGGTTACTACATGACACAGGAAGCCATTCCTCAAGTTCCCAACTCTTCTTGCATTGGGGTGTGCTGCAAGGTTTTGAGGTCACATCTCCGCAGGCTCTCAGGCCTTCGAGTGTTGCAGGGCTTGTGGGCGATGCTTCCGCGAACTTGAGTGGATGGGGACTCCTGGTGCTTTCTGCTTGCGTCCTGGAAAGGAAAGGCTTCAAAGCTGGAGATCCAAAGGCCGACATGGCGCTGGGACAGCCCGCGCCAGAAGCCACTGGGATGCCAAGTGGAGCTGTTAGGCTGTTGGCCTTGAGAGAGCACTTTGTCGTATTCTCTCATGCTGTCTAACCTTTCTTGCTATGGGGATTTATGAGGCTTGTGGCTATTGAGCCTGATTCGAAAGGTCTCCTTCGACATTTGTTTCATGATGTCAAGCGTTTGCAGCATGCCCGCGTCCCTCTTCTGTGCCTCTGTCTCTGTGTGTGTGTGTGTCCAACCCTGTAGCCAAGGGTTTCAACCGTCGACCTCATTTCTTTTGTGCAGGGGGGCAGAGGGGGTGTGGGGGTGGCTCTGCCCATCGAAGCTCCGCCCCACACCCCAGGTAAACGTACCTGCATTGGTCTGTGCCTGGACTCTGTATAGAGTAGCTGGCAGGGCCCTCACCTTCATTGTTCATGTCCACTTCATTTCGTGTTGTACCATTCCTCTGAGTCTGGTACAGCGAGGCAGGACCCTACCTCATGTTTGCATCATCTCATCAAGGTTGCACATGCCATTCCTTGTGTCTGGCCTGTCTGGTACAAAATCGTCATTTCACCTTCATGCCCCAAGACACCCAGGAGATTGCAATGTCAACACCAGTTTGAAACATCAGAGGTATTCAGGAGCATGATGTACTTCAGTGACAGCAGGCTTAGCCTGTCTAAGCTGATGTGGCTCGCAGATCGGAGGTACCAGTATTGGCTGTCAGGAAGGTTGCTTGAGTGTGTTCCAGGCAGTGTAGGGCTAGTCCCTACGTCTTTCAGAGTGCTGCCTGCGGCGGGGTGGCCCGTGCAGTATCCTGCAGATTTCGTCATGACGAAGCAGGGACCCATCCTGCAGACTTGGATGATGTGCAGGGCCGTTGATGCTGTTTGCTGTTTGCTGTTTGTTGTACGGTGGTATTCAGGCGCAAATCAGAGGTCTTTATGACTTACCCTCCTGCAGCCATCAGGTGTTGACGTTTTTTTTTCGAGTAGTGTAGATCCCGTCCTTTGTTCTCCAAGCATGTCTTGGTCTGGACAAAACTGGAACTCCCAACAGCAGCAGCCGCGTGAGTGGCAGAAAAAAAGAAGTTCTTGCTACGACAGCTGGCAACAGGACGATCAGAACTCAGTGAGCGGGATTCGTTTTTTCCGAAAGGTGCAGACGTCGAGCGTGTGCGTTTAAAACGCCGTCGTCGGAAGCGGTAGTTTTGGCTTGTCCTGTTGTGCATGTCCCGCGGGTCCGCCTAAGGCGCCGGCAGAGTGGGCCGCATGGGTCCATGGCACAGATGTAAAAGGTGCCCAAGGCATCCTAGCGGTGCAATAAAACCTTTAGGCAACTTGGCCTTCTTGGCTTCGTGCGTGTGTCCAACCCTGTAGCCAAGGGTTTCAACCGTCGACCTCATTTCTTTTGTGCAGGGGGGCAGAGGGGGTGTGGGGGTGGCTCTGCCCATCGAAGCTCCGCCCCACACCCCAGGTAAACGTACCTGCATTGGTCTGTGCCTGGACTCTGTATAGAGTAGCTGGCAGGGCCCTCACCTTCATTGTTCATGTCCACTTCATTTCGTGTTGTACCATTCCTCTGAGTCTGGTACAGCGAGGCAGGACCCTACCTCATGTTTGCATCATCTCATCAAGGTTGCACATGCCATTCCTTGTGTCTGGCCTGTCTGGTACAAAATCGTCATTTCACCTTCATGCCCCAAGACACCCAGGAGATTGCAATGTCAACACCAGTTTGAAACATCAGAGGTATTCAGGAGCATGATGTACTTCAGTGACAGCAGGCTTAGCCTGTCTAAGCTGATGTGGCTCGCAGATCGGAGGTACCAGTATTGGCTGTCAGGAAGGTTGCTTGAGTGTGTGTGTGTGTGTGTGTGTGGCTGGCTGGGTGGGTGGGTGCGTGCGTGCGTGCGTGCGTGCGTGCGTGCGTGCGAGAGGGATTGTCAAGCAGTTTTGAGGCAGGGGCTGAGAGTCTGATTGGTTAGAGTATATTCAAAGCCTTGTCGGGCTTCGCAGTTGTTTTCGGTCGATGGACGGAAAAGACCGTCCGAAATCAGGAGGCTCGACCGGGACCTGCTTTGAGGATCCCATGCGCAGGACTGTTCCCATGAGGCCCCGTAGAGTTAGAAGCCACACATGATATGGCGATCTCAGAATTTAGCCTGAAGCAAGTGAGCCGCGAAGCCAGACAGAATACCTGAAGCCACTTGGGCACCCCTCGTTTCCAAGAAAAAACCAAATTGCTGGTCTCAAGCCTGGACTCCCTGAAGGTGAGCTTCGGGATCTCCTATCCCTTCCGATTCGGCTGCCCGCCGCTGCGCATCTACCATGCGGGTCTCGCACCTCGGCCACAGCTTCAGGGCTTGGGGACGCATAGGAAGCCTGTAGTTCCGAGCCCCCCAAACCCTTCCCCTTCAGAAGAAGGAGGGTGGGGAGGGTGAGGAGAGGGAGGCGGCTCCCCTTTACAGCAAGCAGAACCAGCCCTAAGGGCTTGGATGCAGAGGAGGGACCCCTCGCTTTTCGCACCCTGTGATAAGAAAGCAGCGGACACAGAGTTGCACGTCTTCAGCTCGCAAAGCATACCTGCAGTGATGGACCCCGGTTTCACACCTACGAGGTCGCAGCCGCAGCACTTTCCCAACAACGTTTGCGTAGATCATTGCCCCGCCACCATACAAGTGAGTGAGTGACTGAGTGTGTGTGTGTGTGACTGACACCCGGTGCATTGTTTTGACTTCTTTAATCGTGGGGTGTTATTTATGGGGTTTGGTGGTCCTGGGGTCAAGATTTGTTCCTGCTCATGGTAAAAGTAGCAGCCAGGATGCAGCCATGTGGCTAAGAGTTTCAGATTCCCCGTTGGCTTGGTGATTCTCGAACTACGAGGGTAACGTTTATAGTAGTCTATATAGGGCCCGGTGGTTTCGGCACAGGCTGTTTGGGGCTTCGCGTAGAGCTAGGCAGTCTAGAGTTGAAATGGCGAACCCAGAACGCCGGAACACCTTGCAGCCAAAAAATAGAAATTCAGGTGCGCGAGCAGCTGCTTCTCAACTGCGGGTGCCTTGGGCAGTTTTCAAGGTCGAGGATTTGGGACTGAAGGTGGAAGCTGTATAGGACCAGCCAGTAAGCCCCCCCCCCCACCCTTAGTAGCTACAAATGGTTATAAGTCTTATAGCCCTAAACTTCAACTCGGAAGCCCATATGGGACTTGGAGCGGCCCTTCTTGTGCTGACTGGAGGCAGTACTTGGTGGACTCATTGACGGTGGAAGACCTGCCGAAACGTCGGGTGACCTTGCCACCACTGCTGACCCTTTGCACACATAGCACAAAGACCCCTGAAGTCCCTGAAGATGAACCCGGAAGCTTGCATAGCTTGTTTCAACATTGAGACTGGTAGCTGGCACGGGCACTCAGGTGACTGGAGTTGAATAACCCAAAAACCCAAAAACCCAAAAACCCAAAAACCCTAAAACCCTAAAACCCTAAAACCCTAAAACCCTAAAACCCTAAACCCTAAACCCTAAACCCTAAACCCTATCGCTCGCCAGATGTGAGGAAGTACTATGGCCACGACTTCGGCAGCTCAACGAGCCTCACTGCCTTTGTCCAGTCGGCGCTGGAGGCGACACCGGGTGCTCTCGACCGCCTCTCCATGTATGGTGCTGTGAGCACCCGAGACGAGAAGCTTCCCGACCACAGAATGGCAACTCTGTCCACTGTGAGTGCTTTGGACTTGTCGACAAAAACCAAAGAACTCCTGCACAACTTGAAGACAGGACTCTGAAAAGTTGTATGCCGCGGAGAAGAACGAATAGCTGGATCGTAAATTGAAAATATCTCCCAGAGTCAGAGCATCAGGACGTAACTTGCAAGTGTTCGAGAGATCAGGCTTGGTTGCGTCGCCCCGTCCTTGGCCGTGAGCCTCGAGCGCTTGCGCGAGTCGGGCAGCTTCGCCAACGTGTCCGCTGCTTTCGCCGAGTTCGACTGGCGCCTGGACGTGCCCAAGGCACCTTTTCTGTGCATCGAAGCGCTTCGTATCCCTAAACCCTAAACCCTAAACCCTAAACCCTAAACCCTAAACCCTAAACCCTAAACCCTAAACCCTAAACCCTAAACCCTAAACCCCATCCTTCAGCAGATCGAAAAGGGCCCCATGTCGGCCCATGTCCTTGCCAGGCCACCTGCTTCGGGCGCCGCGCAGAGGCCCCTAGCTGCGCAGCATTGGAGGCACTTCTACACCAGGGCTGCGGCTTGTCGGGTTTAGGGTTTGGGGTTTAGGGTTTAGGGTTTAGGGTTTAGGTCCTGCGTGGAAGCTTTTGGATCTGTTGGGCTGCTTGGGCCTTCGGTGGGGAGCTGCATCTGTCGAATCCATCAGTCCGAGACTCGGGCTTTAGGGTGTTGCGGTGAGTCCGGGTCTGAGCCCTTGTTATAAAACCTGGTGGTTTGATATATATATCTATATATATAACTATATACATATACATATATATATATACATATATATATATATATATTATATTATATATATATATACATATTCTCTCTCTATATATATATTAGCTCACCCCCCCCCAATGGACCCACCGCGGATGGCAGCCGAGTCCTAGCCAGATCAAGGCAAAAAACAACAAAACAAGAAACTAACAAAAACCAACAAACCAAAAAAATCCAAAAAACCCAAAAAACCAAAAAAAACCAAAAAAAACAAAAAAAAAAACCATCTTTTCCAAAACTATGGGGCTGGGTCCTCCAAAAGATGGTTTTTTTTGGTTTTCTCGAGAAAAAGATGGTTTTTTTGGTTCGAAACCATCTTTTTCTCGAGAAAAAGATGGATTTTGAGCAGCCGCTCTTCTAAAAACCATCTTTTTCTCGAGAAAAAGATGGTTTTACCAGGACAAGACCTCCAAAAACCATCTTTTTCTCGAGAAAAAGATGGTTTTTCCAGGACAAGACCTCCAAAAACCATCTTTTTCTCGAGAAAAAGATGGTTTTTCCAGGACAAGATCTCCAAAAACCATCTTTTTCTCGAGAAAAAGATGGTTTTTCGAAGAGCGGCTGCTCAAAAACCATCTTTTTCTCGAGAAAAAGATGGTTTCGAACCAAAAAAACCATCTTTTTCTCGAGAAAACCAAAAAAACCATCTCTTGAAGGCCCCAGCCCCATAGTTTTGGAAAAGATGTTTTTTTTGTTTTTTTTTTAGTTTTCTCGAGAAAAAGATGGTTTTTTGGTTCGAAACCATCTTTTTCTCGAGAAAAAGATTGTTTTGAGCAACCATCCTTCGAAAAACCATCTTTTTCTCGAGAAAAAGATGGTTTTACCAGGAGAAGACCTCCAAAAACCATCTTTTTCTCGAGAAAAAGATGGTTTTACCAGGACAAGACCTCCGGAAACCATCTTTTTCTCGAGAAAAAGATGGTTTTTCCAGGGTAAGATCTCTAAAAACCATCTTTTTCTCGAGAAAAAGATGGTTTTTCGAAGAGCGGCTGCTCAAAAACCATCTTTTTCTCGAGAAAAAGATGGTTTCGAACCAAAAAAACCATCTTTTTCTCGAGAAAACCAAAAAAACCATCTTTTGGAGGCCCCAGCCCCATAGTTTTGGAAAAGATGTTTTTTTTGGTTTTTTTTGTTTTTTTGGTTTTTTGGTTTTTTTGGTTTTCTCGAGAAAAAGATGGTTAAGTTTTAGGGGTTTAAGCCTCATGCACTACAGGGTTATAAGGTTCTAATCCTATAGGTATTGCCTTAACCTTTAACCCTAAACCTTTAACTTTAAACCCTGCAGGGTTAACCCCGTGAGAAATTTAGAGATAGACCCCGAAAAGACCCTAAACCTTCTTACAGGGTGTAATGGTTTAAAAACCGATAGGACATGTATACCTTCAGCGCCTGTAGGGTTCAAGCCTTTGAACGTGCTAGACCCCTATAGGGTGCTAAGGTTCTGACCCTAAAGGGTTTAGGATTAAGGCTTAAATGCCCTCTAGGTTTAAATGCCTAAGTCTTAAACCCCAAACCTTTAAACCTTCATCCTATGGGGTTTGAAGGTCAAGGGTTTAGGCTTGATTGCCGAGGGCTTTAGGGTCCTGACCCTAGAGGGTTTAGGGTTAAGGAATAGATGCGTAAACCTTAAACCCTTAAGGTTTAAACTCTATGGGCTTAGGGGGCTTAGGTTGTTTTAAACCCTAAGCCTTTAAACCTTCACACTACAGAGTTTAGAGGTGTTAAGGGTGACAAATTGATTACATACTTAGCTTTAAATGCCTGAATCTTAAACCCCAAACCTTTAAACCTTAACCCTATAGGGTTTAAAGGTTAAGGGCTTAGTGTTAATCGCTGTCTTAGGTTTAAATGTCTGAATCTTAAACCCTAAAACTTTAAACCTTCACCCTATAGGGTTTAAAGGTTAAGGGTTTAGGTTGAATCGTCAGCTTGGATTTAAATGTCTAAGTAAAGAATCCTAAACCTTTAAATCTCATCCCTATGGGGTTTAAGGTTAAGGGTTCAATATGAACTGCCGGCATAGGTCTAAATACCTAAACCTTAAACTTAAACCCTAAACCTTTAAATATCTTAACCCTATAGGGTTTAAAGGTTAGAGGCTTAGCGTAAATTGCCGGAATAGGTTTAAATGCCTAAATCTTAAGCCCGAAACCTTTAAACCTTAGCCCAACAGGGTTTAAAGGTTAAGGGTTTAAAATTAGTTGCAGGCTTAATTAGGTTTAAATGCCTACATCTTATATCCTAAACCTTTAAAAATCTTAACCCTATAGGGTTTAAAGGTTAAGGGCTTGGCTACAGGTTTAAATGGCTAAATATTAAACCCTAAGCCTCTAAACTTTAACCCTACAGGGTTTAAAGGTTAAAGGTTTAAAATTAGTTGCAGGCTTAGGTTTAAATGCCTACATCTTAAACCCTAAACCTGTAAAAATCTCAACCCGATAGAATTTAAAGGTTAAGGGCTTAGCTTTAATTACCGGCATAGGTTCAAATGCCTAAATCTTAAACCCTTAACCTTTAAACCTTAACCCTACAGGGTTTAAAGGTTAAGTTTGTTTCTTTTTTGCAGGCTTAGGTTTAAATGCCTAGATCTTAAATTATAAACAAAAGCCAACAGAAAGAAAAACCCTCCGTGCGTGTGTGAGAGGGTGAATGAAGGAATACAGTCAAAAATCCGGTCACCGGAAAATCACCAGACAGCATAGGTTTTATCGGTATTTGCGGTACTTTTGCAAAGATCAAGGCCCGCGGTGGGTCCATTGGGGGGGGGTGACCATATATATATATATATATATATATAGATTGTTTTTTTCATTCTTCTTCATCATGTCCCAAACACCAGAAGCCCTGAACCCGCAAGAGTTCCACGAGCAGCCGAGGTGGAGTCGGTGGAGGGTTCCAGGACATCCCATGCCTCTCTTGGACTCTGACGCTTACCTGGAACTAAACCCTAAACCCTAAACCCTAAACCCTATAACCCTATAACCCTATAACCCTATAACCCTATAACCCTATAACCCTATAACCCTAAACCCGACAACCCAATCCTTGCAACCAAGCCTAGAACTCATGACCCCCACAAGAAGCGCTGTAGAATGGGCAAGTTGGCTGTAACTGTAGCCCAGCACACCCGTCTCCTTGTCCTTCAAAGGAAGCCTGTGCTCAAAGAGGCGAGGCATCTCAGCATTCTGGGGCAGGGGGGGGGGGGGGGGGGGGAGATGGACTCGTTGAGGAGTCTTTGTGTGTGTGTGTATTACGAAAGGTTACCTCCATCAAGGCTTCTCTCTTGGCTTTGAATGGGATGTATCAGGCCGGACCCTTTCCGGGTTACAGTCAGTCAAATAATTCTATAATTATACAACTATAGAATTGTAGAATTATAGAATTTTATCATGATATATATATATATATACATATAGACATATGTCGCCATATACACATATCAACTGGGCTTAGAGGGCTGCATCTTGTAGGGCGCCGTAAGACTGCAGACGAACACCTCCTGCCAGTTCACCAACTTGGGTTCCCAGCAGAATCCGCTTCGACAGCCTAGCTGAGCATGCAAGCATCCCGTATTCTCTACTTCCATGAAATTCCATGGCGTGCTCGGATGCAGGAACATTTAACTTGCAGCTTTGTCCTTGTGCGGCTGAGGAACGAACACCTAGAAACCTGAAAAGCCCCAAAAATCACTCCCGAACTAAGTTACATGAAGCAAAAGGCTTGCATAACTCGAGCACGCTCCCAAGCCTTGCGCCCTAAACCCCAAACCCTAAACCCTAAGCAAAAAAACCCTCCGAGAGATGTCTGGAACCCTAAACCCTAAACCCTAAACCCTAAACCCTAAACCCTAAACCCTAAACGGATAGAAAGGCCCCGTTGCGTCACGGGCCCTCCAGGTCCGTGTGGTACCACCCCCAGGGAGACCAGGTGCTGATCGTCCGGACCAAGCCAGGCAGACTTCGCATGTGGGGTTTGGGGTTTAGGGTTTAGGGTTCAGGGTTTAGGGTTTAAGGTTTAGGACCAGTTTAGGGTTTATTTAGGAGAAATTTGGGGTCTATTTAGGGTTTACTTAGGGTTTAGGGTTTGGGGGCTTCAGTTCTTTGACGGCATCAGGCCTTCCCGCCAGCTTGTTGCGGTAAGGCACTCGGGATTCTTTGGGCTTTGCCTGGGCCCTGGTTGGGGGTGTAGGGTTTTGGGTTCAGGGTTCAGGGTTTAGGGTTTAGGGTTGGGGTTGTGAGGGTTGTATGTACCCCTAACCCTACACCCCACCCTTGGCACTCATCCAGGCTTGATGCACAATGAAAACCAGCCCCTTTAACTTACTGTTCCTAGTACCGAATGAGGGAATTCGGTACCTTATAGAGTCCCGTAAAAGGGCTTTTTATAGGGGGATATGAGGCACCTAGTTCCCTCTTTGTCTACGAAGAACCAGTAGGTTAAGCTCGGTCGCATGATCGGCCTAGCGAAGCTGTCGAACAGCCGCATGCGAATATCTTGCACAAGCGCGTTGCGATTCCATGCCCTCAGGCACCGCCGCTATGTCACGGAGGGCTAGGCCGCGGGGCGTGTTATCAATCCACAGCCATAGACAGAGCTTTCGCATAGTCCGGACCACTGAGCTGATTCTGATGCGTCATACAGGTCGGGAAAGCACCCTAGACCACCAACTCTGAAACAGTCAACGGGACCGTGCATGATGTAGTGTGCACATGTGCCGGTGTAGATGGCGATCCATGTTCGGCGAGCTTGAAAGCTGAGCGAGCTGCGTCTTGTTGCCGGAGTGTAGAGAAGTAATCTGTATTGGTTGGTTTCCCCGAAGATCCTGTTGTTCTCGAGAGGGTACAGCTTCCAGATTGCCATCATCAGCCGGCACAAACTCCAATCTGTCGCTGGCCCTGCAGTTGGCGTTTCCTACCTTCGTTCTACACTTCGGGCAACAGAGTGCGGATCACTCCAAGGCAGACTGTGTCTGATTGCATCTGCATGGTATCTTCTTGCGAATGCCCTTGGGCAGTTTCGGGCAGAATCTTGCGGAAGTCGCACTTGTTTCCTCTTGTTCAGTGCTTGTGATGGCTCCGAGTTGTGGGGCGCTCTTTTTACTCTAGCATATATATATATATATGTATATTTCTTCATGTATTTAATTTATATCTACATTTATACTTATCTACCTATAATTGTACCTCAACCCCTGAGTCATAAACTTACACCTGCCCCAAGCTGTGCATGCAGGCCAGTCTCGATGATTGCCGTTGGGCCGTGGTTTCTGGGGGCCATGAGATATTGGGATGCTCCTGGACGCACATGTTTATCCTCTGCCGCGCTCGTGTGGACATGCAAGGGGGGCACATGCACAATGCATGTCGTACATAGCCTTGGCGTCTTTGTGATGGCCAGACAGGCCAGAGGACTCTGCCGAGCTCCATGCTGAAAGCTTCCACATGCAGGGCAGAAGTTGCATGAATTCGGCATCGTGAGAGTCGCGTCGATGCTGCTGCTGCTCGCCTGCCCGTTTGGCACGACGCCGCAATGCAAAAATGAGGCTGTTACCCGGACTTCACGAATGTGCATGTTCAACAAACCTACCACAGCAGAGGGAAAAGCCAAGACGCACATGGCGCCCCCCTCATTTTTGATCTCTTCGTCCTCAACTTTGGCTGCAGGCATTTTGTCTGTGTTTGCCGGTAGTATAGCACGTCGCAAAAGCTGCGCCCCTCGCTGCCGCCAGTGAGTTGGCTGGCATGAGCTTCTCGCACGGAGCAGTCTACAATCCCAGCGGTTGCCGTTGCACGCCGAAGCAGCCGGGAGCAGGATGCCCCAAAGTGCTTGTGGCGCCGCCTCATTACATTCAGGGTCCAGGCATCATGTCATCCGTGGGTAGGTACACCAGCAAGTTGTGTGGTGGATGTGACAGAGTGGGCTTGCTGAACATTCCTTTTGGAGAGACCGCCTGGTCGCCGCAAATATGCAAGGACTTTGAGGACCACGGGATCAGCGTCGATTCACAGGTCTTTGGCGGGATTCCTTCCTATGAAGAGGTGCAGCGACTGGTTGACAAGTGGAAGCAAGCAGGGGTCAAAGCGGTCGTAGCAGTGGGAGGCGGCACATGTGGAGATGCAGCCAAGCTCGCAGCCCATAGGCTGAATGTTCCTGTCGTGAATGTGTCCACATTGGCTGCCACCGATGCCCCATGCAGTGCTTTGTCCATCATGTACTCAGAAGGGGGAGCCTACCTGGGAGGGGAGACATATCCGCAGTCGCCGAATGTTGTAGTGGTGGACACGGAGATCATCGCTGGGGCTGGCAAGCGCTCACTGGTCAGTGGTTTCGGTGACGCCATGAGCACTTTCTACGAGGCCAGGACGTGCTGCGAGAACCCCAATGCTTTGAGCATGTTGGAGGCACGACCCACTCAGACAGCTCTTGCGATCGGCTCACTTTGCGCCAAGATTCTCTACGAGAATGCCCTCGAGGCAGTGAAGGCAGTGGAGGCCAAAGTTCCCGATGAGTCGTTGGAGAAAGTGGTTGAGGCAAACACTTTGCTGAGTGGCATCGGCTTCGAATCAGGTGGACTTGCTGCTTCACACGCCATTGCCCAGGGCATGTCTTGGGTCAAGTCTGTGCATGACAACATGATGCATGGCGAGATGGTGGCGATCGGCTTGCTCACGATGCTGACAATGGAAGAGCGACAAGGCCTGCCAGGCCGCAAGGAGGAATACCGACAGGTGGCGGAGTTTTTCTCAAAGGTCGGCCTGCCAGTCTGCCTCAAGCATGTATGCCTGGACCCGAAGGACTCCGAGGGCATGGAGCTCTTCTTGAAGAGCGTCCTGGACCAGTGGTTCTGCCACAACGAGCCCTTTCTCGTTACCAAGGACTTAGTCCTCCAGAGCCTCTTGGAGGCAGACCAAAAAGGCCAGGCCATTGTGCAGGAGCTTGGCGACGAGGCCTACCGGGCAATCCATCCCAACGCAAGGTCCAAATTTTAAGGGCTTCTATGGTTGCTGGAAGAGCGAGGGTGTGACTCATCTCAGGTGTGTGGAAAAATTCGTCTTCGCACCACCGGATGCGGATCCAATACATGCTCTATTGGCCAAGGGCACGGTATGTACAGCCAGCCGTACCTTTAGAACTATTTTGGCACGTAAGCGCGCAGGTCAAGACATGACTGACCTGCTTTTCTGAGGCAATTGTGCGGTCAGCGTGCCTGCAGTGGGACACTTTGCCATTTGTTTGAAGTGAAGCATTGCTCGCGATGCACAGTGGCTGGCCACGTGCCTCTTAATACTGCTATAGAGGACTCGCCACAGCTGCAAAACAAGAACGGCTCGACAGCAAATCCTCCAGGATCCATGCACTTCGGATGCCCAGATTGGCACAAGGATCCCTGACTTCATCCGTAAAGACCCGCGCGTCTTCAAGCCCACACCATATTATCCTTGACATCACACTACCCTTTAG